ATGGCACCCCATAAATAATAATCTAATGGGGTCAAATCACAGCTCCGAGGCGGCCAAACAACATCAGAATTTCGGCTGATAATGCGATCACCGAAAACACTTCGCAGAAGAGCAATCGTAGCGTTTGCTGTGTGACACGGAGCACCGTCTTGTTGAAACCAGATGTTACCGACATCAATATCTTGAATTTGTGGAAAGAAAAATTCATTTATCATGGCACGGTAACGCTCACCATTCACAGTAACTGCTGCTCCGGCTTCATTTTCAAAGAAAAATGGGCCAATGATGCCACCAGCCCAAAATCCGCACCAAACAGTCACTCGTTCTGGATGCATTGGCTTTTCTTCGATTGCGTGTGGGTTCTCTGAACCCCAAATGCGGCAGTTTTGCTTATTAACATAGCCGCCAAGATGAAAATGCGCTTCATCTGAAAAGATGATTTTTCGACCAAAATCAACATCTTCATCAAGTTGATTGCAGGCCCATGAAGCGAAGCGAAAACGCATTGGATGGTCAGTTGGTACCAAGATCTTTATGCAAAATTCGACCTAATGATGTGCGTGAAATGTTCAATTGTTGAGAACGTTGGCGCGTTGATGTGCTTGGAGACTCTGCCACACTCTCAGCTACAGCATTGATATTCTCGGATGTACGCACGGTTTTCGGTCTTTCACGTGTTGGTTTGTCAATAAGAAGAAGTTTCACGAACTTTTTGCACAAAATACCTCACATACGGTGCTTCATTTCTTCCCATTTTTGCACGTAATTTTCGGACACAATCTGCAACATTACCACCACTTTCGAAATATTGTTTTAATAAAGGGTGTCTCATAAATATTTTCTTATTTTATGCCATAAATAAAAATACTTAGAATATTTTTACAAAGATAAATTTATTACCAAACGAAAGCCTAAACATTAATTTTATTTATGGAAAAGAGTATCGGATAAATGAGCACCGTTCATGTTTTCACACTCTCTTAATCTCGAACTGAAGTTTTCGATCACTCTCCGAAGCATTGCTCGAGGAATGGCGTTTATTTCATCTGTTATTTTTTGCTTCAACTCTCTCAAATCTTGTGGCGGTGGGGTGTATACCTTACTCTTCAGGTATCCCCATAAGAAAAAATCTGCTGGTGTCAAATCGGGACTTCTCGGTGGCCAGTTAATGTCTCCTCTGCGACTGATGACCCTCTCTGGGAATAACTGATGAAGAGCATCCAAGGATTCATTCGTGACATGAGAAGTCGCTCCATCTTGCTGGAAAAACGTGTTTCTATTGTAGCCACCATGGTTCTGTATAGCTGGAGTTAAAAAAGTCCTAATCATGTGGCAGTAGCGCTCAGATGTTACAGTTTGAGCTTGGCCACGATTGTCTTCAAAAAAATACGGGCCAATGATTCCTTGCCCTGACATAGCAGCCCAGACGATAACTTTAGGCGAGTGTAATGGCCTCTCTAAGATTTTGCGGGTTCTGCTCGGCCCAATATTGGCAGTTTTGTTTATTAACATGCCCGTTAATGTGAAAATTCGATTCATCAGAAAACCATATGTTGTTGTAACCGTTAAAATGCTCTCTCATTGTTCTACAGAACTCTAATCGATTAGCGGGATCTTGTGGTTTTAATTGTTGTGTAACAACAATCTTGTATGGGTGAAAATGCAAATCCTTGCGAATAATGCGATGAACAGTTGACTTATGCAAAGTTAGAGACGCTCCACGCAGTCTTAATGATTGCCGGGGATCCTCGTTAACGGACTGGCGCACACGTTCAATATTTTCGTTCGATCTTGCTGACCTTGGCCGTCCAGGCGGTTTACTAATACACGTGTTTCCGGTGCTCTCGAACTTTCTTACCCAATATTTAATTAAATTTGCGCTTGGGACATCTCTCATTCTTGCTATGTTATAATGATTTCTGTACAAACGACGTACAAGCACATAAGAATCCTTGTTTTTATAGAACTCGCGAACACAAAAAGCACGTTGCGGCCCTGTAAAACGCTCCATTGCAACTAAAATTTAACAATGTTGCCAAACGTTTGTCAACTGTCTCGTTTCTCCGGAGCATGCGTATTCCGCCAGAGGACTGATCTAAAAACGAAAATATTTCTGAGACACTATATATTTCCCAGCGTTGTTCAAGCGAATACACAACCATTTTCGTTAATCGGAATGATATGACTGATGTTCTGTCAAATCAGATGCGAAATAAGCCTTGATATATCCCAAAAAACCAGTAACTCAAAAAAAAAAACGATAGATGGACCACCCGGTATATTCAAACATACCTGCATCTCAAGTGCTAATTGGCACCATTTTTTTCCCCGTAGCGACATTTTGCATAAAACCACACACGTATTCACGTTTCTCGTATAAACCACACGTATGCATAAACATCAATACCAGTCACATATGTATGTCTGGTATCGCACATACAGGGTGGCCAAACACGTGACGTCATAAAAAAAAATTAGATTCCCCACAGCGAGAGGAACCCAAATCACCCCCATATATATGGTCCGATTTTGTTTAGTTTAGGAGTTATGATTTTTTTTCGGATTTTTCGAGAATTTTTGAGTTCTGTGTTTATTTTTACCATAACTTCGTTAATAATTGTGATAAATGCCTGCTTTTTTCACGATTATGTAGCTAAGACCTAAGGCTTAACTATCATATAATCATTCAAGTCATGTAACTAATACTACTTTTTAATTTTATCAAAATCTTCGAACATAACAAAAAGTAAAAAAGTGCAACAACTTTGAACGTTTATAAAAAATTGAAAAAACATGTTCTTACTATTCGTAAGTAAAAACTTCCTTACGGTATCAGCTATTTACCGTAAAAATTTCATCAACCTAGCTTTACTACATGCTACCGTAATTGTGACTCAAATAGAACCGAACCCAAAATTGGATAACCCTCTGCTCAATAGAAATTGTTAGTTTCAGAAAAAAAATTTGCAAGAACCACAAAAACACGTTTGATTTTTACTGAACAGCAGATTATTATTCATTTATGTTATTTACAAGAGGTTTTCAAAATGTCTGCCTCTAACAGAAATGCACAGTGTACACCTACGTATGAAATTTTGTTTTAAATCTCTAAATGCTTGTGTGTTGTTTTTCAACACATGTGTCGCTTCTTGAATTTTGTTCCTCAATGAATTTTCATTTGCACATTCTTGGGCGAATGTTATGTCTTTAAAATATCCCCAAACAAAAAAATCAATGGGGTTGAGGTCAGGGGAGCGTGGAGGCCATCGTATCGGTCCGTTTCGTCCGATCCATCTGTCTGGGAACCTTTCGTTTAAGTAGTTTCGCACGATCGTTGCGTTGTGGCATGGTGCACCATCATTCTGGAACACCATGTTCCGTCTGGCTTCCAGGCTTGAATCTTCCAGCAATAATGGTAGGCTATTTTCAAGGAAGCTTTTGTAGGCTACCGAATCCAACCTTGACGGCAGTTCAAATGGACCGATAAATTCCATATTGAATATACCTGACCACATGTTCACACTAAAACGGTGTTGAAATGTCGACGGCCTTGACTGGTGGGGGTTTTCAACAGCCCAAGTATGTAAATTATGGATATTGAATATCCCTGTTCCTTCAAAACGTGACTCGTCAGTCCATAAAATTTTATCAAAAAAATCGGGATCCTCTCGTTGTCTTCGCAGCATTGTCTCGCAGAAATCCACTCTTAACTGGTAATCTGAAGGCATCAACGCTTGAACTCTTTGAACATGATAGGCATGATAACCTTCTTCATGAAGAATATTTTGTATCGATGTTCGTGCTATTCTAAGGTTTTGTGCCATAGATCTCGTACTCGTTGAGGGATTCCGGCTAATTTCTACTTCTAAGTACTACTTCTCTGCGATCCGGATCAGCTGTAGGATATCCTTCATTGCTTCCTCGTCCTGGAATGCGGCCTGCCATGAAAGTGTTATGTGTGTTAATAAAAACACGGTGGTCTGGGTAATGCTCAGGTTGTGGTCCGCCTCGGCGTATAAGTTGTTCCCGGTACAGCTGAGCTGCTAAAGCGCCGTTGCCTTGAGCAACGCCATAATAATAATGCATTTCTGCATATTCACGCAACGTATAATGCATCACAAACTTCTTAGCAAACAAAGTCCAAATCAGTATGCAAAGCAGAGTCCCGGAATATCCAATTTTTTAGAGCACGAGGTTTCGGCTGATATGGCCTCTTATTTCGTCTGCAGGTGACTTAGCCTTTCGGGGTTATTTATACCAGAACGGCTGACGTGTCGTGTGCCGTAGATGACGTGGCTGGTCGGTGGTGATGACGTGTCCTCTGTTGGTTGGCCTAACCAGAGCCTGAAAAATTAAAAAGTAGTATTAGTTACATGACTTGAATGATTATATGATAGTTAAGCCTTAGGTCTTAGCTACATAATCGTGAAAAAAGCAGGCATTTATCACAATTATTAACGAAGTTATGGTAAAAATAAACACAGAACTCAAAAATTCTCGAAAAATCCGAAAAAAAATCATAACTCCTAAACTAAACAAAATCGGACCATATATATGGGGGTGATTTGGGTTCCTCTCGATGTGGGGAATCTAATTTTTTTTTTATGACGTCACGTGTTTGGCCACCCTGTATATAAAACAATCTTCGTTTAGTGCGTTACCAGTCGAAAATGTCCGGTATATAATATGTAACCTATAAGAATCGGGCGTTGTAAGAATCATATAGGTATCTGTAATGTCAACATATCACTTTTAGTTGTCGAGAAATAGTCTTCGCAGTTTAGCCAAAGATGGCATCAATGCCGTCCGCCAGACAGGCATAGGTTTTACCAGACATATGTGCCTGGTAACGCAGTGAACGTGTTAACAAAGAAAACAATATATGAAAGGATAGACATTGTATAGAAAATAAAAAATGCTTACAATATTCCACAAAATAAGACAATGAACAGAAATGAAACCTGACCTGAGGTGAAGTCCTCGCTCCAAGCAATTAGTCAATGAGCTCGGGACCTGATTGTGCCATTGAAGTCGCAGCGGCATCTTTGTCGAACCCAGGTACAGTCGTGGATGTCGTGGAGATGGTCTTCGTGCTAGAAGACGAGTTGGATTCCTCGGCCTTTGGGAGGGTAGGCGCGAAGGCTTCTTTTAACCTCTGCTTCTGCGTCGGACTTAGTTCCAAAAGTGATAACTTCGTGAATAATTCTTGGTTTCTTCAGCGTAGAAATGAAAGATTCCCATCTATCCTCAGGGTTTTCATGAATTTCACTAGTGCTCCTGGCAAATTCGTCCACAACCTCTTCATCTGTAGATCTGTCGCTTTCTCTGACTTTCGACACAATGCGCTCATCACGTTGATCAACATTGTCCAACTTACGGCACTCGTCCAGACCAGCGCAACTCCAGAAAATTGATCATTATATCCGGATCATCTTGGTTCGCCTCTTCGTTCACTAGATCCTGATTCATCGGAATATCTTCCTTGTCAGCCATCGTGGTACACCACTTTTTGAAATTTGAATGCAAATAACCGGTCGAGGGATTGCCACATTCGTAGTCTTCGTCAGAACTACACTCGATAACAATTTTGTCGTCGTCGGAATTGTCTACGATTTCCCAATCGTCAGCCTCTTACATGAACCGACAAAAAAAAAATGGGTAATTGGGGACGCTATTTGATGATTTTGGTATAAACCGTAATGCTCTAAGGCAGGGCTGTCCAACTTGACACGTTCGCCACGACGTGCGCCACCGGTGGTACATCGTCGTCTTTCCAACTGTACGTCGTGTGCCACCGGTGGTACACCGTATATGTGGAATATCTCATGGCGTAAATCTGTACGGATTTAATTTATAACTCGTTTGATCAGCTACGTCCATAGTAGAAGGACGTGTACCACCAGTGGCTTACTCGTTTCCAGATGACACCTTTTGGCGGAAAAATACAGAATGTAGAAGGAAACACATTTCAACTTACTTTTTTTGTAAAGGGTGTTCAGATAAGGACGCTCGAAAGTTAAAATGGAAAAAAAAGGAAAAAAATTTAAGTCAGCACTAAAAGACTATATTGATCGTAAATAGCATTTGACGACATTATGTATGGAAGATTATATCGTTTAACTCTTTCAGGGGCAAACTATTTTATAAAATTTATTCTCTATTTGGGCACAAAAAAAATTTTTTTTTATTACTTGTTTTTCACATAAAATGCTATTTGAGGATATAAATAATACTCAAAGCTTTTCATATTTTTTATTTTTACATGTAATTTTTCATATATTTGGCAAAAAATAAGTGGTGCTATATATGTACCACCGCCCTATTCCTATTTATTTCTGTGAAAGTCCTGGAAACAGGTTTTATTTTTATTTAAACAAAGAGGCACATTGCAAACGCTGCATACCCAGTCCGTTCTTACTTGTTTTTTTTTTAGTGCTACAGTAAGCACACCGACGTCGAGTACCGCGTTCAGGTTGATGAGATGAACCTTCAAATCGAATTTCTTCAGAAACATATGGTTTGTTTTTTTTATGGCAACAGTTTCAAAGGTTGACAAAGAAGATCTTTTTCTATCTACCAGTTGTTGTACAACAAGACCTTGTATTATACTTCTTCGGAAATCTTTCATAGAAAGTGTGGGTAGCTGTAACTCCTTATATAATACAAATGCATTAACAACAGCAGCATCCAGGAAAAAAAAAAGAAAATGCGATGCCACCATTTATGGCTTTTTCGATCTATTTTGTAGGAAGTAAGATCTTGGTCGAACTTGTCGACAAAATTCATATTGGCATTGTAATCAGAAAGGGCTTTTGGACAAGGCACTTTGGTAATTGATCCATTCTTTTCTTTTCGGTTCACTTCAAGAGTATCACGTGGGTCATGGAAGTTAGACAGGAGAAAAACGGAACACTTGTCCTTCCATTTAATAACAGACAAATCACTATTGCTTGTAAACCACTCGATATCACCTCTTTTCATGTTCTTATCTGATTTGAACTTCGGAATATTCCGCCTAGAAGAATTAACAGTACCACAGGCATGTATCTGCATATTTTTTAGATCTTCCATTAGCTCGACTCTGTTGAATAAATTGTCAAAATAGACCAAGTGATTTTTATTTTCGAGACCCTCGCATAGCTGTTTCACAATTCTTGAGCCCAAGTTTTTCTCGACATCACCACTAGGTTTTCCTGTATAAATATCAAATTTTAGACAGTACCCATTTTTATCAGCCAGCATCCACACTTTGTATCCCCTTTTAGTAGGTTTTTTTGGCATATATTGTTTGAGAGAACTTCTCCCTTTGAATTTTATCATGGATTCATCTATGGCAACTTCACGACTTGGCAGCATACATTTTCCAAATGCCTCTGACATACGGTTCAACAATGGCCTTACTTTGTACAGCTTGTCGTAATTGGCTTCGCCTTTTTTTGCCATCAATGAATTGTCATTCAAGTGAATATTTCCAAGCAACCAACTAAATCGCTTTACCGACATTAGATTACTGACATAAGAGTCATGTAGATCTGGCGCGCGAGACCAATGGTCCCTATAACTTGGAAGGCGCTTTATGCCCATAAGTAAATTTAACCCCAAAAATGTTTTAATTTCACGAACATCAGTTGGTTTATGCTTGCTGAACTGTTGTTGAGCATACAGGTTCGTTTCAAAAACAATACTTTCTATCAAGGAGTCAGAAAAAAATAATTGAAATAATTTGTACGGTGTTGGATCTGTCATATTCGTTACACAATCTGCTAGACCAGAATGCGCAGTAAAATCTGGAGGTGGTGTAGGAGTTTTCACATTAGACCAAACTGGAGACTTTCTTCCAACTGATGAGGCAGATGAAGCTAGCTGCAGTTTTCCAGCGATAGTTGACAAAGGTATATCATCTTCTGAGTCACTATATGAACATATCAACACGTTGCTTCTAATAGTAGTTTCTGTATCACTTTCTTGGTCGTCTCTGCTACTGGCTAACGATTCACAATCAGATGGAATTTCTTCACCGTTTATACGACTTTGTTCCATTTCTGAATAAATGTTTTCGAGTTCGGAGTATAATTCACCTTCCGTCATATCGACTAGTTTAAATGGCAAGTCAGACATGTTGTAAGTCTGAAAATAAAAAAAAATAGGGTGTAAAATAAAAACGTAATGTGTGCGGTGGTACGCATTGAGTACCAGTAAATATAAAACGATAGAGGTTTTTTTTTCAAATAAATATAGGATAAAATCATAACAAAACAACTTTAATAAGATAATTACATCGAAATCATACAATGTTACTTACTTTTTTAGTGTTTCTCCACTCACAGCTGGTATATATTCTTGACTAATGAATCATAACCTTAATTTGCTTTTGCATGCGGTATTCCGAACTCCCGCGCTATTGTCGGTGCATGCGCTCTTTTATAGACACGTGAACAACTTACTTTGAGCGGTGGTTCATGGAATGAACCGCTGCTCGCTCTGTAAATGAAATTTTTAGCACCACTAAATATGTACCACCGCCTCATTAAAGCATGCTTTGAGGTGGTTTATTTTATATACCATCGCCCTTGAAAGAGTTAAATGGCCACCGCGACTGCGCTGTACAGCGTGCATTCGCACGGTCCAATTTTCGAGCACTTTTCCGCACATTTCAGCGTCTACCTGTCCGAGGACGCGAATGATGTTGGCCCTTAATGCTGCAATTGTTTGTGGCTTATCCGCATACACTTGAGACTTCACGTAGCCCCACAGGAAAAAGTCTAAAGGCGTTATATCGCACGATCTTGGTGGCCAGTGCACATCGCCGCCGCGCGAAATAATGAAACCGTTGAACTTTTCATGCAGTAAATCCAGCGTTGCGCGTGCGGTGTGGCACGTAGCGCCGTCCTGCTGGAACCAGATGTCTGTTAGATCCATATCGTCCAGTTGAGGCCACAGGAAATCATTAATCATGGCGCGATACCGATCTCCATTGACCGTAAGCGCGTTGCACATAGCGTCCTCAAAAAAATATGGACCGATTACGCCGCCAGCCCAGAAACCGCACCATACAGTCACTTTAGCAGGATGCATAGCAATTGAGCAAGTCAGTTCAGGATTTTGGTCAGCCCATATACGGCAATTCTGTTTATTGACATACCCATTCATCCAGAAATGCGCCTCGTCGCTGAAGATGATTTTTCGTGCAAATGCAGGGTCGACTTGCAACTGCTCTAGAGCCCATGCGGCTAATGTACGGCGCTGTCCATGGTCTTGCGGTTTCAATTCTTGCGTCAATTGAATTTTGTACGCGTGCAATTTCAAGTCTCGACGCATAATTGTCCATGTTGAGGTCTTTGGAAGGGCAAGTTCTTGTGCATGTCGCCGCAATGACTGATTCGGGTCTTGACGCACGCTCTCTCGCACAGCGGCAATATTCTCAATTGTTCTTACTGTTCGTTGCCGTACGGGTGTTGTTTGGTCTGCCACTGAGCCAGTTCTCTCAAATTTATTGAGCAGACGTCGAATAGTGGACTCAGCAGGACGGCCATGCGCACCATAAATTGGACGCAATGCGCGGAACGTTTCACGAACCGAACATCTGTTTTGATGATAAATTTTCACAATTTCCACGCGTTGTTGAATCGTGTACTGCTCCATGATTAAATGTCAAGACTAACTTAATAACCTCACAAAATTTGACAGCTGTATCCCCACCGGTTTGGGCGCGCGCGCTGTTCAAACATCGAGCGTCCCTATCTGAACACCCTTTATAAGCTGTTAAATAAAACATTAAAAATATCCTAATAAAAATAAACTAAGACATAAAATAAACTAGTTCAAGGATTTTTGAAGTGACAGCCTATATTATAGAAATGAAAAGGAAACATTTTGTAGTTAGTTCCTGTTTTTGTTAATTTTCTTTTTCTTAGTTTTTCCACTTTGCTCCGGTGGTACGGCTTTATAATAATTCTGATCGATCAGTGGCATCCATTTTAGCATAAAAGTCAACGATTCAACTTTATTGGCTGAAAGCGCTACTTTGGAAGTAGTAGTTGCCGATTTCACTCTACTTTGTAGAGCATTTTCCATTATTTTTTCTTTTTGTATTTCACATTCTGTAAAATAATTCTCTGAACGAGAAATTTTTTAATGTACAATGTGAGGTATGGATTTTCGAAATTGAAGTGATGAAACCTTAGAGAACGGTACTATATCATAACGATGTAGGGAAGAAACCGTTTGGAAGTTCTTAAAATCCTTAAGGTACTGTTACACATGCTCATAAAATAGCATGCTTACGAGCATGCTTGAAAATCGCATGCTCTCCAAACTGATACATTTGCTCGTGTTTAGCATGCTTTTTTATGTGCATGCTCTCCTCGATCTTGCTCAAAGCAAAGACTCCGGACACACATGCTATTTAATAGCGAGCTGTTCGTTCAGTGTTCCACTGCAAAAATGGAAAACCAAGTGACTCTCTCCACAGAAGTGAATAAAGTCATCATTTTGATTGCAATACAGTGTGTCAAAAAACTTTTGGTATCAAGAAAGAAGAATAGAAGGAATAGGAAGATTTGGGTTCGAGATTGGCTAAGTAGAAGAGAAAACCTTGGAGCAAGTACTCGATTGCTAGCAGAAATGAGAGAAGAAGACATTGATGGCTACAAAAATCATTTGCGGATGCTGCCGCATCAGTTTGATGAATTGCTCTCTAAAACTGGAAGCGCTATACAGAAACAAGATACACACATGCGAAATGCTATTCCAGCAAAAGTGAAATTGGAAATTACATTGAGATATCTAGCAACTGGAGACTCGTTATATACATTAGAAGCACTACACAGAGTTGCAAGATCCACTATAGCTAAATTTCTACCTGAAGTGTGTAATGCAATATACAGTGCTCTGAAGGATTATATGCAGGTAAGTAAATTAATCACTGGAGTATAATATGCAAGTATTTATTACATGAAAATATCGAGTAGGTATCTAACACAATTTTTCTATGCTATGGTTCAACACTGTTCCCATGCTTTGGTCAACAAATCAGTATAAGTCATTGCCTGTGTATTTGTAGTAGAAGGTGTGTCAGTCATGATTTGTGTATTTGTAGTGGGAGGTGTGTTAGTCATTGTTTGTATATTTGTGATAGGAGGAGTGTCAGTCATTGTTTGTGTATTTATCGTAGGAGGTGTGTAAGTTATTGTTGGTGTATGTGTATTAGGCAGTGTGTGTGTCTTTGTTTGTTGATTTGTCGTAGAATGTGTGTAAGTCATTGTTGTAATATATTTGTGGTAGGAGGTGTGTAAATCATTTTTTGTGTAAAGGGAGACATGTTTGGGTATAGGTGTTGACGTCTTGCTGCAATCAGAAGTGTTTGGATCTCAGTTTGTAAATCTAATGCCGCGTACAATGGCAGGGCTCGCAATTGAGCTGCAACATTTTGAGCAAAATAATGGAATTCGTCGTATTCCGTCGGTCTATTTATAACAGAAGTTAGATTTTCCCAGCGATCGAGCGCACATGTAATTGATCCTTCTTCCAAGACTCCTTTTTTACGCCGTTTTGATGGGTTACTAGAGGAACGCGATGAATCTTCTACATTCTGAAAGAAAATATATTTTCAGAGAATTTTATCAAACATACTCAGTAGCTTTTTTTACAGATTCCGGGTCCAGAAGACTGGAAACGCATTGAACATGGATTTAGAACAAAATGGAACTTTCCAGGGTGTGTTGGTGCGTTGGATGGCAAACATATAAATATACTGGCTCCTGATGATACTTCTGACTACTATAATTACAAGGGCGCCCATAGCATTATACTTCTGGCATTAGCTGATGACGACTACTGTTTTTCATACGTAAATGTTGGAACTAATGGAAGAGCTTCTGATGGAGGTGTTTATCAACAATCGAAGTTAGCACAAGCCTTGCAAAATAATACTCTCAATTTACCAGAGCAATCAGTTGTTGTAGCAGACGCTGCATTTCCTCTAAAGACGTATCTTATGAAGCCCTATCGAACAACTCCAACACGTAAAGAAAAAATATTCAACTACCGTTTATCGAGAGCCAGACGAATCGTTGAAAACGCGTTTGGTATTTTAGTAACAAGATTTCGAGTTCTTCTGAATGCAATAGATATGGCCCCCAAAAAGGTTGACTATGTTGTATTAGCTGCATGTGCTTTACACAATTGGCTTCGAAAAACATCTGATATGTATATCACGCAAAGATGCGTCGACTTTGAAGATATACAACAACGTGTTCTGATACCAGGAGCATGGAGGACACAACTGCGGCAAGCTTTGGAAGGCTTACCACGTACACGCTACAGTAACCACGCTTCTCAGCAGGCAGAAGCAATAAGAGACACTTATGCGCAGCTTTTTGTAACTACCGAGACGGTTCCGTGGCAAGACCATATGATATAAATTAAAAGTTGAAAATTAACATACCTATAATAATAAATAAGAAGACAATGAATGTTGTATGCTAATATATTGATTATTTGTTGTGTTAAGACTTGAGTGTATTTTCATTTAAAGTAAAGAGAAACTCACCAACTCAATAGATGTCCTGTAGTCACCAGTGTCTCCCAGAAAAGAATGCATTTCATGGAACCATGACGTGGACGGGTTGTATACCTCAGCGGTGCCAGAGCCTGATCGCTTGGAATGTTCAATTTTTTTTAGTTCATTGTGGTAAACCGACCTCAGGTTCTTGATTTTTGTTTTTAAACTTTTCAAACTTAACGTAGGGTCATTCATCTTCATTATCATATCTTCATACGCATTGTTTCTCAAAATATTGTTTTTATACTGCGAAGACTTTGGGTTCCACAGGCATTCATGATTTCGGTATAGAATAACAAACTGTAACGTCTTATCGTCACCCCAGCGCGCCATTTTTGCAACACACAAGCGCACCTGCTGCTAACAATTGCTGCGAACAACTGCTGCTCAATAATAGCATGCTTAATAAGCAGACCTGTTCACACGCGCTAAAACCACACCCCCTTCCACCCGCGCTGCAGGTAGCATGCTCAAAAATCGCAAGGCGGTCGATTTTTAAGCATGCTCAGAAAAAGCATGCTTATTTCTATCAACGTATGTACACACATGCTACTAAGTAGCAATTGCTCAATAATAGCATGCTTTTGTGCTAGTTTTGAGCATGTGTAACAGTACCATTACGTTGCATTTGTATAATTTTATAAGGTCTATGTGTATTTACTTTTAGAAGGATCCTGATAAGTGACAGAGGACTATAGTACTCTGTTTTATCTAAAACTCTTTCAATGGCACTGTGTGCTGCATCAATCTCCTGAACACAGGAGTGACCAGGCACAGAGTACTTAACTGTAATCGTTTCTAATTTATTTTGGCCTTCCCAAAGCAGTTTTGTAATTGCAAACGATATAATTGCCTTTCTGTTTTGGGGGACGCAGCTGTCACACCACAGAATCAATTCAGTCAAACTGGGATGATCTTTAACCACCTGACTCAGAATTTTGTAAAATGCACTTGCAATGTCGTTTCCTGTCCTTCCAATTAGGTGTTCTGTCCATACTGCACAGTAAACTTGTTTTGTGAGAGATAAGTGTGCTGTTAAGTTATATACTGATAGTTTACTTTTATAAAAAAACTTGCTGACCTCAGCCTTCGGGCAAGTCAAAACGTTCTGGAGATCGAAACAGAACTGCGATCTCCTTGCAGTCCCTGTCCGAATTTCTTTCCTGTCGACAAGTCTTTTTCTCAAGCATATGTTTTTCTTAAATAATTTTTGTTTGCTCATCAAGCTGTGTTTCTTCCATTTCATTTAGCTTCACAAATTCACATACGTCACAGCGATCTTTTTTCGGCCGCTGGAAATGAATATTATACTCCGTACAGAAAATTTGACGGTATGAAGACTGCTTGACTGGAGTGTTTCCTTTTTCTTGCATCAAGTCGACATAAAGCTTGTATAATTTTGTTATATTGAGACTTGATTCCATGTATTGTCGAGTAGTATCAGCACGACAATAATGACTATCAATTTTTGGCACAGACTCAATGTGATCTCTTACCAACTGCTTTGCATCTTCTGGTATACTGTGCTTTGTGTGCTTCCCTTGCACTGATCGAGCAGGTGTATTTCAGACATTTCTGCTATTTATATACACGGTGTAAATACTTTTTTCGCTTATGCTTAATGTTCCCAAAAAATAACTTTTACATACTTGAATTCGCTTAGAGTCTATAGTAAAATAAAAATAAAAAGTAGCTTTCTTCTTAGAATTGTCTTCACATTTGCCCTTGCGTCTTCTTTCTGGAACCTGCTTAGTAGTATTTGCTAGTAAAAATAATTTTTTTTCTTCTTTTGTGAGCTTAGAGTATCCTTCAAAAATTTCTTTCCGTTGATCCTCAGTAATGTATGTACTGCATTTGTTACGACACTGGACACTACAGTCTTTCAAGTTCTTAATAGATCGAGCAGGCATAACCTTTTTTCGAGAAGATACATACGACTCCCCTCTGTTTCTTTTTTCTTTGCGCACATTAAGTGCCCATGCAGAAGGATTTCGTTCTCGTTTTCTAGCTCTTCGCTTCTGGACCTTCTTATCAAATACACACTCAGCTTCCACCTCAACCCTTTCTATATCATTTGAGTCTGTGATTCTATAATGCTCTACTTCCACAGGTGTCACAGTCAGAACATTATTACTTGGAGGTACACCGCATACATCTCTATTAAGATTTTCAATGGTATTATGTACATCGTATCTAGTTCTAGGTATCTGAGATACCAAAACAAGTTTTTCCCCACTTTCAAAAGCAGGATCTTCATTTTCATTGCTGGAATGAATATATCAGTGTGTTAGTTTACTAACACCTCAAATAACTTATACAAACTATACTAATACAAACCTGTCGCTCTCTGATGGAAAATATTCCTTATCCTTATCACTATCATACCCGGCAAACGGATCTTCACTTTCAGATTCGGAACTCATATGGACTGATATTGATCAAATACTGTTAATAAATTAAATACATAACGAAAAGCAAACGAACTTGTGTAACGAACAACGGAAGTGAATGCGTCATGCAATGGCGCCCTCATGAGCATGCGTAGTTCTATGTCAGGACATAGAACTTTGCTCAAACGTAGGTTAACTCAGAATATAACCACAAAGTTGTATGTTAAACATAAAACATTGCACCTCACAAAGGTCAATATTTGAAGCGTGCCATATGCAAAAGGTGGTATGTGCAATTCTATAAATTTTACAGGAGGCACATTATTTTGTTTTGTTTTGTCTTACTAAGAAATACAAAATGTTTGTAGCTATTTCTGATATCTTTTTGGATATAGGCAAGTAATAAAACACATACTTTAATGAAAACATTGGTATTAAAACTAATATTCGCCATTAATTATCAAAACGTAGTATGTGCCAATAAAGTTGCACATGTATAATGAATGGTAAAAATCGTATTTTAAACAAAAAATCAACATGTATTGTTTTTCTAACGCCTTTAATATACAAGACAGTGTGTTCTAATACAAAACATTTTATTATAAACCTTAAGTTAGCTAATTTTTATTCATTTTGTAGGGCCTCCTGACTCTCCACCAATTTTTGATAAAATTCTTGATTGGCGGGTGAAATAAAAGGAATCATACTTTTGATTTGTTTAATTTTTTCTTTGTTCCATTTACGGGGTGCTTGTTCCACCAGTTCAATTTTTAAATTTTCAAAATATTGTGGTGTAACATTTGGTTTAAACACACTCACTTTGCGCCACGGTGCGATCTCCGAGTACGACGTTTTAACTTCAACTTGCTCTAAGTTGTCCTTAGATATTTTCAGCATTACAGCTTGGGAGATGCCCAGGGTGGAGGTTACAAGGGTAGTTTTGGCAATTTCCATCCAGTTGAACCATCCAGTAGTGCATTTAATTACAAATGGATTCTTCAAACGTGCACTTGCCATTATACGCACCAAATCCATAGGTACTTCAGGCTTAAGACCTTTTTTGGCTTTTTCTATGCGGCCAAAGTCCCTATCACATGATAGGAATGTGTGGCCACTTTGTGGAAACTTGTGCACTATCTCGTCGAAATACCCTTTGGCTACCAAGGTAGTATAAACAGCCAAAATACCCTGGTTTTTATTCTGCCCCCCACAGTTATCGGACCATAAAACCAATTTTCGCTTTGTAGTATTAAGCTGAGTTGTAACGTAATCATACAAACAATTACCGATTTCGTTACATCCTCGTTTTCCAGCTGTTTCATCCCATAGGTACATAAAACCTTTTCCTTCATCTCTTCAAAATGTATTCCCAGATTAATACAAGTAAACTGCCGACTATAGTACATCTGCGTATGAGTCAATGCTGGAATATATAACTGCTTTTGTAAATCGTAAGACAGCACACAGACATCAGAATCAGGACTTTTGCAATCTTCTATGTTTTGGGACATCATTTTTTGAGCACTTTCTGCTTTACGTTGATGTACATATAATTCTCGCTTTAGTTCGAATTCATTTTTTTCCACGGGAGTCTTACTAGCAGCTATAGAAATTTTGTACTGGTCGCAAGTAGGACAGGTGTCCACTCTTGGGGCTCCAAAGGCTAAACTGAATTCTTTCTTGAAAATTTCATTAAACCATTGTCGGGAGACTGGGGGCTTTGTTCCATCAAGCCGATGTTTTTCAAGAAAAGCATTATATAGCTTACGAACAGTTAAATCTTCAGAGAGGTATCTTCGGTTTGTTACCTTTTCTCGACTGTAATGGCTTTCTCTGCTAGGAATTGACGCAATAAAATCAATAATTTTGGGTTTCCATAGGGTTTTGTTTCTGGCAGGACGTTTACCACCTCGTCTATCTTGAACAGATATGCCGGAGGAGAGTATTCGCTGACTAAGTATCTCCAGTCTTCTTTTCGTAATAGCCAAAGTTAAACACAAGGTACTTTTACATACCTGAACTTCAGATTCTCCTGGAAGTGGTATAAAGTATTTAAATGAGTGTTGTCGTCTGCTCTGGTTGGAATTATCGTAAGTTCCATGTCTTCTACGTTTGATTGAAGTAGGTCGAATAAGGGAACGTAAAAAATTCTGCTGCTCATTATAATCTGCCAGTTTCCAAAACTGCTCAAACAATCTTTTTCTTGCAACAGCAGTAATTAGCTTACAAGAATACTGACAGCTGCACTTTACCTAAAAGAATATTTCAATTATATTAATTTCCTTCAGGAAACTGAGCTCCATACGCTCTTCAAAAAAAAAGTGTTTACTTACCTCTTCGCAAAAACGTTTTCCAGGTATTGCTCGCTTTTGCTTTAAAGTTAGATATGGACTTCCAGAGTTTTTATTATGTTTGACATCTTCTCTTACGTTTCCAGTAATTTTCCTTTTTTTGGCACGTATATCTTCAGGAATATTCATTTTTTTCGAAAACAGCACACTCGAACACCGCTCCAAAAGCTTTGCTAGGTTATGTTAAATAAGCAGCTGTTTGTTGGCACTTACTACGTTTTGATATTTAATGCCTTACATCGCCGCTAGGCAAAGCGCCATTGATATAAATTTTATTGTATTTACAAGTAAAGCATGGCACATACTCCCTATTAAGCTTATAATCCGCATTTGTGAAAAAGTGGCACTTACAACGTTTTGCATATGGCACGCTTCATTTATAGTAAAGGGAAATCCTATGTTGTACATAAAACTTTGCGGTAGCAATGCTACAAAATAACGAAAAGGTCTTATGTTATTTTGAAGAATAACCCCATTCACCGTTTACATAGAACTGTGGAACCCAATTGAGCTGATAGTACACGTTCCATAGAATCTTGTGGTGCATTATCTTTGTTTTGACAAAATTGTAACATAGAACCCTGTAATTCTAACCCAGCGAAATATTGCGACCTGCCCGTACGAAACCACCGTAACACTTACACTTAAACTGACCTTGGCTCGATTATCTTAACGAGTAATACGATTAAAAACGAACACTTCCGCAATTGATTGCGGATATTGGGTTGATATGGATATGGATGATTGCGTTTAATGTATTTACAAGACAAAATAGTCCAAGAGGCTGCGTGATAGGTAAATTTTCAAGGTCATTTCGGCAGCCACAGATGTCATCGCAGAAATCTGCATTTTTGCATAGTAAGTAGTAATTACAAAAGGCAACTTTTCCGCATATAGGCTTTTTGAATTTTGAAAAATGCAAATTTCACTCCACCCTAATATAAGCTTCTGGGGTACATATTTTATACAGGGTGTCCGCAAAGTTGGGGTTGTCCTTTTCAGAAACAACTACCCTTGAAATAACAAAGGTAATGTGTAGTGAAACGAGGGCGACCAAGTAAAAAAAATAAAGGTAAAAGTACTCACTCTCCAGTTGACGAGAAGGGCTAAGTACGGCTCTGCCCGAAATCATACCGCTCCAACAGAAAATGAAATCAGCTGATGCGCTACCGAGCAGACGCAGGCGGTGGTGCAGATCACGAACAGAGGTAACAAATATGACGGCGTTGCCGCGTTTTCAGTTTTTAGGTAAACGTACTTTATAGGTATTGTTCGAAATTATCGCCGTTTGATTCAAAAACACAGGTGCGTGCACGACGTAGCCAAGCATCGGTGCAGGCTTTGAGAATGGAGTCCCTCCTCCGAATGAAAGCACCAGCTTGTTCAATTCTGAGACGAAGTTCGTCAACCGTATGCACTTCAGTTTTGTACACTAAGCGTTTCATTTCTCCCCAAAGAAAAAAATCACATAGTGTTAAGTCTGGAGATCGCGGAGGCCACGCTACGGATCCATTATGTCCGATCCACCTATTCGGAAATAATTCATTCAAAAACGCACGCACTTCGCGTCTAAAATGGGGCGGTGCACCATCGTGCAGAATGAAATCAGCTGATGCGCTACCGAGCAGACGCAGGCGGTGGTGCAGACCACGAACAGAGGTAACAAATATGACGGCGTTGCCGCGTTTTCAGTTTTTAGGTAAACGTACTTTATAGGTATTGTTCGAAGTTATCGCCGTTTGATTCAAAAACACAGGTGCGTGCACGACGTAGCCGAGCATCGGTGCAGGCTTTGAGAATGGAGTCCCTCCTCCGAATGAAAGCACCAGCTTGTTCAATTCTGAGACGAAGTTCGTCAACCGTATGCACTTCAGTTTTGTACACTAAGCGTTTCATTTCTCCCCAAAGAAAAAAATCACATGGTATTAAGTCTGGAGATCGCGGAGGCCACGCTACGGATCCATTATGTCCGATCCACCTATTCGGAAATAATTCATTCAAAAACGCACGCACTTCGCGTCTA